GATAAATATCTGGTAATGCAATATCGTCTGCATAATTTTTTTTTACTGTTATATGGTCAACAGTTATTAATTTTGGACCTCCACATAATTTGGAACTTTAGATCCTGACCCAGTGGGGCATTAATCCACCACTAATAACCAGGAAACAAAAGATTCGCAATCTTAGAACTGCACTCAGCATATCCATTAGCCTATAATGTCCCCATAGCTCATGTACATGCAAATATACATTTTGTTTGAAAGCATTCGTTATTGGCCAGAGATGTATGTAAAGGTGCCCATTACATATATGGAGAGGGAGACTATATATATAGTCCTATATATATATAGGATCTCATAGCACTTATCCACAACATACATTTTATAACTGTACCACTCCGGTTCTTGACCACTTTTCCCTTGCAAAAGTGTTTCCAGGCTTTGTGATCCTTTTCTAGGCCAACTGATAATGTATTACAGCCACTGAGTGACTAAGAATGGTGCACAAAGTCTAGTTTTCTAACAACTATCATCAAATGTTGTTACTTCTCACTCCTACCATCTTGTTTGTTGCATTCATCTTTTTTTTCTTTTTCGGTGGGGTTCCCCCTCCATGTAGACTGTAAACTCTTTGGGACAAAGATGGTCATTTCAACATTTTTCTAGTGTTGAACACAACTAGGTCCCAAGCTGGAGTCTCTGAATAATATTGTAATACAGGCAGTCCTCGACTTACAACGTTTCGAGTTACAATGTTTCGTACTTACAATGTTTATAAGTTGACACCCTGTTTCAACTTTACAGTGCCAGTTTCAACTTACAACGCATGATCCAATGCAATGCCATGCCAGCGAACAAGTTCAGTGTCACTTATCTCCCTGGAGAACATCTATCCAAACTTCCTTGGACACTTTCTTTAAGAAAGCAGACAAGACTCCAGAAAAACCTGCAGACAAGACTCCTGAGAAGACTCCAGCCAAGAACCCTTCAGAAAGTCCAACCAAGAGCCTTTCAAAAAGTCCAGCAAAGTCACCACAAAGCAGTCCTTCCAAATCAATATGATTGCTATTTACAATATAAATACATTAACGTAGCTATATTACTCATCTATAATTGATCAAGTACAAAATTCTGGAGTATTTTTGGTGAAAATAGGGTATCAGGCCTTGGTTCAGGAACCAATCTCCCATTTATAACATTGTTTCTTATGAGAAAACTGGTTCCAAGTTACAACGTTTCAATTTCAAATTCAGTTTTCAGGAACCGATTGTGTCGTAAGTCCGAGGACTGCCTGTATTGGTGTTTAACAAACAAACCTCTACTTCCATGTACTACTAGCAAAAGAAGAGTTTTTACATTAAAAGAGAAAGAAAAAAAAAGAAAGAAACCCACAGTATTCCCACCCAGGAATGAATCACAAAAACATTTTACATCTTTGTCATGACTGCAACAGAACATTTTTCCATCTGACAAAAGTTGTTTGTTTAAAAAAAAAAAAGGTTTGCGAAACAGTCAAATAACAGACACTGATAAAATTTTGGCGTTCATGAAATCAGCAGCACATAGTGGAAACAATTCAAATGGACTGAAATGGGGAAGCAACTGGGAAACTCTCACTAAGGATTAGAATGGCAGCAAACTACCATGTCTGAAAAAGAATGACAATCAGTCAGGACTACAAAAACTGCTGCAATGAGTTCTGGTGGATAAGTACCACAAGGGAGTTCAGGTCACTTCACCTCAGATAATGTGCCAATATATTGCATCCAATGAGAACTCAGCATTTAAATTTCCTTAGAAAAACTCAACACCCAGAAAATGTTTTATTTGGATGTTGTATTCCAGTCAAAAATCATTTTCTCAAGTATAAGGATGGGAATAAGGGGGAGAGAGAAAGAGAGATATGGATGAATAATGCTCTGTGACTAATAGCTGTGGTCTGACCTCTCTGAAATGGCTTCAAATATCCATGACCTTTAGCAGAGCCACAAGTTAGACTTAACAATAATGGGAATACGTAATGTGAATTCTCACCCCCCCCCTTCATCTTATTAAATGGGTGTTAGAATGACTAAAATGGCAAAGAAAACTGTGGCAGCAATCTGCTGAGTAATCCCACTAATATTCAACCGTGGGTTGGCTGAGTGTGTTTAAGATACATCAACACATATTTGCGAAGGAAGTGTGCTGGCTTTATTTTAAATGACACCTTCTCATTAATCACACACAAATACTACGTGCTATTCCACTGCTTACACAAACGTTCTTCTGGCACAGCACTTAAGTCATTAACAAATCACCAAGCCCTACTGTATATCTCATTACATGATTTTCCTGAGAGGAAGTAAAAGTACTCAGCCAATCACTCCACACATCACACCCCTTGTTATCAACCTGTGTAACTTTCCACACAACACTCCTTTCCCAATGTAATTTAAAAGGACTTTAAATACATTTTGTTTTCTATGAGCTGAATTCTAGTTCTAATTAACATTTTTTTTTACCTCTCTCCTGTGTATAAATACAAATCCACCTTGGGCTGTGATCTCATCGGGTCAGGCTTAGCAAAAGCAGATAACACTAATACCTAGCTCTTATAATGTATTTTTCATCAGTAGAACTTAAAGATCAGCATCACTTCACAAATAGGGTACAATATTCTGCTAACATCCACACCTGCAAGCTGAGTGCTTAGCAAGTTTGATTTCAAATCATGACATGTTCCATTAAAATGGCACGCACCAAATTCCATGTCAGCAAAAGACTAAACGATTCCTGTGCACATAGTTTATTAATTACGGTGGGACAAAAGAGCCGTTATAAAATTACAGTATTATTAAAACAAAGTGGATAATTTATAGGACACAGCTTATTCCTTTGATGGATCCGCTTTTTCAACTCACAGGATATCTTCAAGCAGATCACTATTTATATTTGCTTGTTTTTGAACTAGGTTATGCTCAGATATTTTTGTCCCAAATTAATTGTGAATACTCTAAAATTTGAGCTACCAACGTCAAGCTGTAACTGGTCAGATAGTCACCTGGTATATTGTTTCTTTTACCTAACAAGCATACAAGCATTTCTGGTGCAAATATTAAAATTCACTTCCACGTTTAATTTCTACAATTTGTTGAATCAGCAATCTGT